CCTCGCCCTGCTTGGAGTCGGCACCCTGTCCAGAGTCCTCCACCTCCTCCAGGGCCGACTCATAAGACCCCTCGCTGTCGGAGTCTGGCGGCAGCGCCAACGGCTCTTGCCGGGCCACAACAGGTTGTGTTCCTTTGTGGGCATCCCACTGCTCCTGAAAAAAGAAGCTTTACACCCCAAAGAGTCTCAAAACAGAAAACAATCCTTTAGGATTGATTTTATTTACTTTAATGATTGGATAGCAAACTATGCTGTTAAAGTGTTCCAGTATCTCAGGGGTTGCCACAAAGAAGAGCTATTTTCCAAAGCACCTGCGGGCAGGACAATCAAAGGGAGAAGCAACTTAAAACTGAGGAGACGTTTCCTGACAGTTAGAACAATTGATCAGTGGGACAACTTGCCTCCAGAAGTTGTGGATGCTCCAACATAGGAAGTTTTTAACAAGATAATTGGGTAACCATTTGTCTGAAGTTGTGTAGGGTTTCCTGCCTAAGCAGGGGGTTGAAGACCTCCAAAGTCCCTTCCAACTCTGTTATTCTTAATGCGGGAAACTAATACTGAAATGATTGCAAAACATTTCCAAAAAGGGATTTATATATTACAACAAAAGAATGACAGAATTAGTAGTATTTTTATTATGAAAATTGCTTCATTTATAATTATAGTTCAACAAAAATCCATTTTTAATAAAAGAAGTTAACACACAAGCATGATTCTGATGTCCAGAGGTTATTTGCATTGAATCTTATTCACTGAATTTAACCAGGGGAGTATTTCTGATATAATAAAGAACAGCACCTGTTTTATCCAGAATGAGAGCTACTCATACAAGGCAAAGAAAAAAAATAACAAGAACAATGACACAGAGTTGCTGGTAATAAGGTTTCCTTCTGTCAAATGGCATTGCAGATGTAGCAGTTCCAAATCGCATAATGATAATACTTCAATGCTGAGAGCATATCTTTAGTAAGATTGCAGTTTTATCATTCATGTAACATGAAGTCCATTCTGTAACGTTGTTAGGCAAACCATTCCAAATGTAGCTTATAAAGTGTGTTCATCAAGGCTTAGAAGAACTAAGAGTTCTGTAAACATTTTTTAATATTAAATTCAGTGCTGACATTTACAATGTTCCTTGATGTTAAATAATAAATTCCCCTTAACACCTCCCGCTCCCCCCCCCC